TAAAAATGTTTGTCATTTAAATAAATATAAAATTTAATATTTTATTTTTTAATAGATGAAAAACATGAAATATTGCATTTTTAAAAGAAAAGACAAAAAAAAAAAGACATTTAAAATGTTTACATGTGATTTTAGAAATAAAGAAAATATATTAAAATAAAAATATATTTATTAACTTGTTCAAATATAACAGTTCCCGAGCTGGAACATATCCAAATAGCATATTTTGAGACACCATAATTTTTTTTTTTAGAGCTAGCGAATCAAAATGACACAATTTGAGTCAACTCATTTTGATTTTAAGTTGGATTGAACTCGATTCAATTTTGACTCGAGCTAGCTTATTCAAAATTAAACAGTTAAAAGACCAATCTCCTTCATTCATGCACATGACACACAAACAAAACGTGCACGTAGGAAGACTCAAGCGAGCCACTCCTTGCTTGCAGTGCTGGCAGACACTCGATCGAGTGTCTCTCAGTTGCGGAAAAACCTGCATGACTGTGAGAGAAGTGTCTGAGCGCTCCTTTTCCTTTCCTTGCACGATTGTGAGATCGTCGACATGTGATATAGGCTATCATAAGTTGCTCGAGCCCACTATCTCGGCGGACAAACTTTTAACTAGCAGATCATCGACATACATCCTAATGTTTACTTCTTTTTTAATAGCAAAAATTACATCCATGAAGTATTAGTAAGTTGCCTCCGCGAGCCAAAAGGACATTACATTTTAACAAGAAATTCCCTCACAAGTGATAAAAGCATATTTTTCTATGTTAGTAGGATACATTTTGATTTGCTGATACTCGTAGAGCGCTTCGAGAAAGTTTAAGACTAAGTGGCAGACCACCGAATCTATCAAAGCATCGATCCTTGGTAGAAGGTAGGCGTCCTACGGGCGGGCAGAGTTCAAGTTGGTGAATGCTCCATTTTCTGTTAGCTTTCTACACCATTACTACATTGGAGACTCAGGTAGCGTACTGTACTTCACGAATGTACCATGCCTCTTCCAGCTTTCGTACTTCCTCTCGAATAGGTTCCGCTAACGTCATGGCCGATATTCTAATCTTCTACTTCATGGGTGGAGTTGATGGATCAACGTTCAACATGTGGTAGGCAACGTCGATTGGCACACTTGGCATTTCAGCAGGCATCCATGGAAAAACATCACAATTTTCTTGGAGGGATTGAGTAAGTAGCTATCCGAGTTCTGCATCAAAAGCTTTACTTATCAGAAAACATCTACCCAACTCTTCTTTGATAGCCGAAACTTCTAGGGTGGTTTTGTTGGTCTCAAGGCCACCTTCCTTTGCATTCTGAATGTCTAAAGGGTTGTGTTTCACGTTTCTTATGGCTCCCAAGTAGCAGACTCAAGACTGCTCTAGGTCACCCCTGACTGTGATGATTTCTTCGTCTTCAGAAAATTTGATAGCAACGTCCCCCCCCCCGAAACTACACAATA